AAAGGTTGGGGAGATGTCTCTTTCATGCAGTGAAAAGTCAATTATTGATGTGTGTTTATTTTCTTTTTTGAGACATACCTCTGGTTCATCTGTTAAATTGTGCCCTGTTTCCACAGACGATGGTTCAGGGTTCAAACAGTTGATTAATTAGACCACCTGAACAGGTTTGTCATTTTGAGAAGAGGAACAGACAATTACACCTTTTCACCATTGGAGTGTTTGGGGAACGAATGGGGCCCAGAGAGGCATCGGGTTTGTTTATTTATATTTCTAATTTGTATTTTTAATGTATTAGGGTTACTTGTGGTTGTTGTGGCCAGCTTGGGAAGAGAACTTAGACTGCTAGCAGCAGGCTAACGACAGGGTTTTTGTAATTAGGTGACTACAGTCACCGAATTCTTTCCTTTGCATTGATATTTATAGGCTGTCACACATATTTAGGCTAATTGTCATTTCGACACTCTTTTGCCAGTGTCTTGTGAATGAAGCATGAAGTTCACTTGTGGATGTATGTACATGCCTATTAATTGACTATAGCTATGTATTCAATAACTGACTTTGTCTTAACGTACATCCATAGCAAAACTTGTTTTTCTGGTTTATTTATAGCACTTATCCAAAGACTTAAGCATGAAGAAGAACACAATGGTTTTCCCTCTGCTAATATCCAGTACACAGGAAGTATAGATGTAAAATAGAGGTAAGCGGATATGCTGCATAAAATAACAGCCAAAAAGTATCTGTTATCACATTGATTATAAATGAGCAGCAAACATGTATCTAATATACTTATCAAACTAAGTACTGCCACTATGGCTGCTGATATTTCACTTCTGAAACTCTATCAGTGGGACGTTGAAGATACATGGAAGAGACATGGTGCAACTGGAACGCTATGCAGTCACATTCAATGGACATTCAAGTTAAAGCAATGCAAAAAATCACTCAAAGCTGTAAAGGTATAAGGCCATGGACAATATCATTGAAATGAACTGTGTGGGTTTTATATGGTTTGTTAGATGGAGGCATTTTGGACGGTGATATGTTGATATACTTTGGATTTTGCCTGTTAAACACAACAATATTTTGTCTCTGACATCCCTTAAACATATGCTAAAATAATGACAACATTATTTAATGATATGTGGAGTTAAATTGTGTGCACAAGTAAAAAATAAACATAAATGACCTTAGATGTATCCTGCCGTTCCTGTATTATGTGTATCACTAATGTATGTGCTGTGTATTCGCTGTGCTTGTGGATTAAAGTAATTTTAATTCTCTTCAGAACAAAAAGAAATCGCATTTTGCTGCATTTACCCACCATCAATTAAATGAAAAAAGACATCCTGATACACTCCTTCACCATCCCCGACACCTTTGCTTAATCCACTTACAATATTTGAGCTGCTTCGCAAACAAATTGATATCATCAATTGTGATGTTGGCAAATACCACAACCAATCTGCTCATGAATGTTTATCTCCTCTAACACTCACCCACCTGCTAAGAGGTGCCACGCTTTAATGAAATTGTTTGGACTACCGGCGCCCGTTGCTAAGGAACTGTGTGTCTCCTGGTTTTTTGCCTGCAGATTTCTGTCATCAAATAATGATTAGAGATGAGCACACCTCAAGGTGCTCGAGCCAGTGAAGGGTGTATTCAGATTCATATTGGCAAACAGCTCCAGGGCGAGAGGAGACACTGAAAAATGAGCCTTTGTATGTGAAGCCTTTGCTGGCATTGACTCCAGTTGTGGGCCTTTCAAAAGAAACACCATTGGCTTCACAACGTAATGCGATTGGAGACGCATCGATGTTTACGTTTTGAAGGTAGGATGACCAGGAGTTCGTCAGTCTGTGAAATTACACGGCACAGTATTCTGCTCCTCTGTACCTCTGACAAGGTGTCGGCATAAACCTGTTTTCACAACAACACCTCTTCCCACCGATTAAGGATTGTCACAGTCAACTTTCGATGCTGCTCCTTTTATCCCTGTTTGATGTCTGATTTCTTCTTCTTTCATATTTTTCAAACTACACATCAGCAAATAGACGCTGTCGGACATAGGTGACATGAAAAGAGTCTAAGATCAGGTGTTTCATGAATATGTTTACACGTAGCAGCCTTTCACTGAGAAATGATTCCACACTTTTATGCTGCAAAGAGGGTTTTTTGCAAAATACATCTGGTGGGACCATGTTTTACTTGATTTGTGCTACTTCATGCTAAACAGAGACTCTTACTTTGTGTTTCAGGAATCTGTGTGTTCTCGGAGCTTAGTGCTTCTGTCTTTAACCTTCAGAAGACTCTTGCTTCATATTCATAAATATCCAAGCATTTCACTATGATTCCCCAACCCCACCCCACCCCCACCACCCCCACCCCCCACCCCCCGGTTTGTGTTATAAATACTTTTAATTTTTCCTTTCCATGAGGGCCTTACTTACTGTAAACTATGTTGATCTGCATCTTCTTGCTGTAAGAAATCTTTTGGATGCATGGATACACAACATCTAGTTAGAAATTAGTTTACACATAAGTTCTACTCTCTCCTGGGTATTTCTGGGTGCTTAAGTTCTCAAAATTTAAACAACCCCCTTTGCTTCTTTTGTGTGATGTTCAGCTTCCCTCCCCCTCTGGAGATCTGGACTGGCAGGAAATCAAAAACTCGCTCCTCTACCCACCATAGTGCCACCGCCCCCTCTTGCACTCTCTTTACCCCCACTTGGTGACTGTAGGTGAGCATCTGGACAATGGCATACGGTTACTAGAGTCTCTCCACAGGCCCTCTGCATGGTATTCAATCAGATTGAGGCAGGAGGGCCTCTAGATTGTATAGATCCAGAGGGCTGATCCATAGGGGTGCTCACCCTGTGCAACTTCACTCCCTTAAAACCGCCTCCTTTTAAGGTAGTGCTATTGGCCCATTCACCACATGTTTAGATCAATTGTATCCCTGTTAATGGAAAATAATTGAAGTTTTTCCAAACCTGCTGCTGCTGCACAGCTTTGCACAAAGAGGTGACCTGTGAAGGATGTTTTTAATTCAAAACCCCGCGCTAACAGGGGGAGCAGGGCTCAAATTGACATCTCTGTTTTCTGACGAGTAAAGATGTGTTTTTTTTTCTGCAAGGCTAGGAGGCATCCTCGTGATAATTACTAATGCTGCGGAACAGAAGGAGAAAGAAAGCTTTCTATAGAAGCCCTCTATAGAAAAAAAAGAAAAAAACGTGGCAGTGAAATGCAGACACATCAGAGTCACGCCGAAATGGTCCCTCTTCCACGCATTAATGGCCATATCAATTGAATAGCATCTAAAGTGCTTTGAAAGGAGGTCTGTGTGAGAAACACACACACATACACAGCTCATACATACAGTCAGCACATCTTGTGATCTCCATCTCTAATGTAAACTTGGTGAGCGTGGAGGGGGGGTAAAGATGTTAACTGTGAGAAATAAATGTCATCATTGGCCTCTCCTTCAAGATGGTTTCCTCAGATAAAAATTCTATGGTCGAACTCAGCAACTCGAATCAATCAGTGCAATTAAGGCCTGCGGGCCATTACACTGCGCACACATCTTCCCATTCGTTACACTGAATGCTCCCTACTCTCATTGTGCACAGCGAGGCGTTTGTGAGGGGACTCAATAGAGAGAGTGGAAGTGGCGTCTTAAGAGACTCTTTGTGATCAGGGTAAATATAGCTCAAGGTAAATGAACATGTTAAGTAAGATCGGTTCTCAACCCGGGGGCTGGGACCCTCCACGAAGGTCAGAACATGGGTTGGCCCTCCCTTGGCCCTCTGTGCGAACTTGTTTATATGTGGGTCACTGTAAAATAATCTACAAATATAGGACAGATTACAAATCTGCACTACAAACAATTTCCATCTCAGCATGCAATTTCATTATTGAAAGACTTCAATTCAATTCTCTTCAGTCAAGTACACAAAATCTGCCTGCAGTTGCTTAAGTCAGTTTTTCTGTGTCTTTATCAAGGCAATCAAGAAAAGGTAAGACAGGTTGTTGCACTACAGTCAAGAAAACGTAAACTTGATTCTGGAAAATACTTGAAACAAGGTGATCTGCATTGGACACGTGTGCAGACGTGAAGATACCTTGACGATTTCTCTGCTTACTTGATTACCTGATATGGCTGTGATGCAGTCACAGTTTGTGATGTGAATAACCTGTATCTTCACTGCAGAGTTTATGACATCTAAATTTACTCCAAGCCGAGGCTCTCGCTCGGTGGAGTGCAATCAAAACCCTGTTGCCACATGCCAGGGCTTCAGTCTTTAAAAGGCCCCTCTGAGCTTCTCCCTAACAGGCTTGGTTGGCACACTCTAGTCGTCTCCTGACTTGAGACGCCCTCACCTAAATCAGCGGACGGCCTGTCCCCGATTAGCGCTAATTGCAAGCTTTGTGAGCGAGCCAGGCTTGCCGTGGATCGGCACCAGCGTCTTCTATTTCAATTTTATTTAATTTTTATTCAATCGGGAAGGTCAATTATAAGAGCAGAAATTCAGATTAGCAGCGATGGTCTGGCAGATCATCTGAACCAGCGGGTTGATGTAAGCGGCACCATGTTGAGATTGCCTGGTGTTACCTCATCCACCGCGCACCATGCCTACATTCAGATCAGAACTAGGTATGGAGGAAGGAGAGCATGGAGGATGCATCGAGGGACCTCTGGGAATGATGAAACAGACCTCTCACGTAGTGAAGGCGCAAGCTCGTCTGCCGAGTGTAGGCAGTCAAATCGTTTCTCCCCTTTTCTAGCGCTTAGACCGGGTGTAATCACAGTGATGTGATATGGCTTGAGCAGGGGTAACTCTTCATAAAAGGTGGTAATTACAATCTTTATATGAGGACTGTACTGAAAACATGCAGATGTAGGTGCTGACTACTGCATATGAGAGATTGACTGAGTCTGAAAGCCAAAGAGAGATACATTTTTAGTCCAAATTGTTTTACCATTTTAATGCAAAAAAACAAAAAATAATTTCTTTCTTGTGGTTCTCTTATGGTTCTCCAACTTTAGTGAGGATGAACTCGAATGCTGTGCACAGAGCCCTGACCTGAACCCCATCCAACAACTAGAGGGGATGAACTAGAAGAGATTATCAACCAACATCAGTGGCTGACCTTTTGCCATTAAAGCTGGAGTAGGTAATCTGGGGAGAGGTGAGGCAGAGGAAGTTGTGGAAGAGGGAAAGCAGGTGTGGATGAGCAGGTATCTATAGTAGCAAATTATTTCTGTTTTTTTTTCTTTTCTGACCAATACCACCAATACAAAATTCAATAAAGCTCTGTTCTATTATAATATCTAATTGTGTTTGTTATCTGTTGCTGCACAGGCCAGAATTCAAGAACTGGACTTGGAACAGTCACATCACATCACTCTGTCTGAGCTCTGTGACCCAAAACTGGTGTTTCATACATTAAAAATGACATCAGCAGATGCTCCTCAACCGGGCCCTCCGGTTACAGGTCATCCTACCAGGTGCATTAGCCAGAAATGTCCAAAATGTGGAAAGAACATCACAGCATCACAACTCCTGCGTTTCCATGCTGCCACACATGCAGTCATTTGCAGTACCAGTCAAAAGTTTGGGAAAGTGTGTCAAAACTTTTGACTTGGACTGTATTTTGCAGGAAGGGGGTCCTGCACATTGCCAGACACATCTGGAATGACATCCGGGCAGTGGCTGATGATCCAGATCCAGGGGAGATCAACAAGCAGTTCAGCTATGCAGCTTACAGACAGTTTGTTGTGTAGCAATACAGAGCAGTAGGACAGGGTCACAGTTGTTATCCCTAGTTGTTGTGTCTGGAAAAATATGTGACCAGTTCCCAGATCCACATGGACAGTATCAAGGTGTCATCCCTAGTGGCGTGTAAATTGCAATAGCACTGTCGGGCAATAATATGAACATTATCACTCAATGCATCAAGGATCGAGGATGTAACAATACCAGTATTTTTTTCTTTATAACTATAACTATATAACATTACCGAAATACTATTAACAATACAAGATATATACAAAATATATCATTGCCACACACAATATATTGACTGTTGATTATAAGCAGAGGTGAGTGTTGGCTGACAGGTCAGGCTCTGCATGTGACATCATGTGGGCGCTGTGGCAATCTTCTTCTTTGGCAGCGACTGTCCTTTAGAAAGAATATCACAATTAGCCATTATCTCTACAAAAATGACATTTAAATTGTTGGATCTGAATCTCTTTATAGGATATATAACAACACAGGACTATTGCTAAATAGAAATACAAGTCTCTGGTTATTTGGCTGAGGGGAAGCTGGTTTTATGGGTATAAAGTAATTATTTGAGAGGGTTGGTTAGTGAATTAAATGCAGCAGTTATGGACAGTGTTTCCCATATTTTTGTGTGGCTGACTGACACAGGTACACAAATAATAAATTCAAGAATATTTTTATAAAATGAGAAATGGTCTCAACTAGTAGGCTAAAATATGACTGCTAGAACCAATATTGTGAGGGGCACCGTCATGTACGTAGAACAAAAGAACTACAGATAAAAGAAGGATGCATTTATATCAATAACAGTGGTCTAAGCAATTACACCTTCATAACACCTTCTTAAAGACTTAGTATGAGGTTTGAAGAGCTAAGCTACTTCTCTATCACATAAAGTTGCACTCACCGGTGGGAGAGAAACTCTGAGGAAATGGTGGAGGTGGAGCGGGGGTGGTGGTCTCATCAGTCTGTGTTTTACACGTGTGGAAATTGAGGAGTCTTTCTCACAACAACAAAAAAAAACACAAAACACAAAGTCGCAGCCGTTAGAGACATGAGATAAATACTATCAAACAACATCTGCTCACAACAACAGTGCAGACATCGCCAGACATATAGGCTGCGAAGATTACATACAAGATTATGTGTAAACCTAAAGTTAACTACACTGTCTACTAGCATAAATCATTGCTGTCGGGATGTTGAGAGAGTTTAAAGATAAATTAGATTTAAACATAACAAAAACAGATTACCTACTCCAGCTTTAAATGACACAAATGTCGTTAAATGACATGACAGAGCCCAACTTTTGTCCGTCACACTACTCAATAGACGACAAGGGTTCAAAAGAAATTGATTTTATTGATATTCTTTTTCATTCTGTGGCTGAGGTAAGAGAAACACTTCCATTTTTACCAGAAACAGGAACAGGTTGATGTCTATTAATAGATAGTCAGTACCAGTGTCACCTCTGTTAGGTATGTACCATTGAGTGACGATAGTGTGTCTAGCATCCCCTTTGGGAAAATGTGATGTTGTATTATTCATCTGCTTCAATTATATCATTTGTGTAATTATGCCAGCATGTGAGTGGTGAAATCCCAGCAAGCATCTGACAAGATGGCGATGTATCAGGAAGTGACAAACTGGCACAGAAATTTCATATTTTGATATGAAGGTTAAGCAGGAGAAAAACCATGAATACAAAGGTTTTATTTTTTATATCAGAAAGGGATTGAGATCACAAAATGATGTAGTTCAGTAATGTCTCAACATTAATGTGCGGACTGTTTTATAAACATCTAGTCATTATTGTGGATATTTTGCATCACTATCCTGGACACACTCTTACAAATTAAGCAGTTGTAAGTAAAACGTTGAATTGTGACTATATATCTTTATATTGTATGTGGAGATGTGTGCTGTACAGGTGAGGCCTTGCCGATGGGCAGGTGAGGGGTTACGAGGCCCGGCTCTGTCAAAAGGGTAATAATTAATGATCAAATGTAGGCGGCGGTGGCGGTGCTGCCGGGCTCCACTGATGCCATTAATTCAGCTCAGTGGAGCTCAGGCCTTTTGCTCGGGACCTGCTGCAGCTGTCACCGTGCGTGCTTAATTATCCCCTCACCCCCATCTCCAGCCCCTCCTCCCCCACCCTCACCCCTCCAGCCTGCGGCCGCCATGAGGCTCCTGCCTCCACCACCCCCCACTCTTCCACCTCCCTTGCAGTCCTTTCCTGGGGTCTGCAATGATACCCAGGGCAAAAAACAAAGAGGTTAAAGTGGGTGAGTGAGTTTAGTCGTGTTCTCCATGTTCACTATTAATCACAGTGCTGAGATATAATATCTGTGCTCGTGTGTATTCGTAACATAATAGTTTACACTGATGTCATATACATTGTAAAGTGTTAGCATGTTACTACTTTAGGCCCACTCACTGGTGACTGCATGTTAACCCAGATACCAGAGTTAACAAAGGGATTAGTGAGTAATTACATTGTTGAGAAGTCTTGCACAATATGTAAAATAAATTATATCTGCATGTTTCTCTGTGATTTAAATATTCATTATGGCCATTATGTGCATATTTCTATATACAGATGAACTTTTAAACACTTTTTAAATTCCAAAATAGTTTTTAATTTTTATTTACCTATCTATCTATCTATCTATCTATCTATCTATCTATCTATCTATCTATCTATCTATCTATCTATCTATCTATCTATCTATTTATTTATTTATTTATTGTGGGCTGTTTGAGGGGTGCTGCTTGATTTTCCAACCACTAGTAGCAACACAAATTTGAGTAAAGGACATTTGACGCCTTTGGTGTGTTTCAGTTGCAAATGTTTGCAGCACGTTGGGTAAGAGGCAAACAGATACTGATAGTGCATCCCAGCAAACATTTGTACTCCCTCATCAACACTGAAACTCCTCTGCAAACAGGCCTTTCTCACAGCGGACAAATTGTGTTTGTCAAACACAGGTGCAAGTAATGACATCAGTAATGACCACATTCAATTAAGGCAATGAGTTACACTTGTGCTCTTCCTGCTATGACAAACTGTGGTAGTGAAATGAAAGGTGCTGAGTTTCCAGCTCATCTTTATTGACTAAGAAAGTCCAGTTTTTAAAAGCGTAATTTGGACTGTTCGCTGTGTTTTTTTCTTGTTTCTTTCCTTAAGGTGGTTTTGGACATTAGTGACTATAAACCAAATTGCCCAGACTATAACTTTTCAAACTGTGCCAAGTATGTATAGATCTGATTTATCTGTATAGATGTCATGTTCAGGAGAACTGAAGAAGACCATGTACACATAGGACATCATGCTTGATCAAATAAAAGTAAAAAAAGATTTATGCTGTTTAAAAGTAAATGTGACGGGTGGGTCTGTAAAATCAGCTTACCTGCCCTTTGGCTAGCACACACTTCCATGTAATATTTACCAGTGTCAGATATCTCAACCTGTCTACTCTGAGAGGGAAGTTAAGTTTACCTGCTTGTCTCAGCACAGGAGACATTCGAGGAGCACACTCTCACGCTAACCAATAACCTTTAATATTTCATCTGGCCTGGGTGATATGTTTAGAGACTTCTCTGCACTTCCAAGTTGTTCTGAAACCAGCGAGAGGCAGCGGGGGAGAGAAGAGGAGGGGGTATATATCCACTCTCACTTTGCTGAAGGATTATTTCTGTACCTGTTCAAACATGCTCCGGTGAATTATTTATCCTGCTGAGCCCCTGCACTGTGCACTTGTACTGCAAGTATAAAACATCTTACCCAAGCTTTTACCTCTCCGTGGTGAAAATGTACCTTAGGACACAGGGCGGACAAAAAGGGGACACATCAGAGCTGGGATTTGTAGCTCGGGGGAAGGGGAAAACAAGGTTGCTTGCGGCAAAACAAACCGAACACACACTGGTTAACCTGAGTTCTGAGTCGAGGGTTGCGCTTCATTCTGAATTATAGATGATCTCTCAGAGTGGATCACTCGAAGGTCTACGTGTTGCGCTTTTCCAGTGAAGTAGCTACATACCTTCTCATGTGATAAAGACAAGAGGAAATCTGTCCGAGTGGGAAGTTTCAGGTGAGCTGCCTATGATTTGAGGCAATTCAAATTCATTTTGCTTTCATAACTGGGATAAAATCGACATTTGCCTTACCCCGAAATAGTTTTTCACTAGTGTTGTTATTAGCTTATTTCCTGTGGGTGTGGCCAGCAGTGAGAAAGGTGTGGCTATGGAGGTGAGACTGATGGACTGAAGGTATGTCAGCAGGACAGAAAGAACTTAATGAGGAAAACCTAATGTTATTCTGACCATTACTCGGCTTGATAATTGATAAATAATACCTAAATTATCTATTATTATCATGTTACACTTTTAGAGTGGTTTGTTCTGCAAGACCAGTTAAAGAAAGAGTGTGTAGTACATTTTTATTTTGTCAAATCCACTGTATTAGTGTTAATGTTGTTTGTTTTTTTTTTTGATGAAGCTGATCAATATTTTTGATTCAGACTTGTAGGAGGTAGATGTGCACATTTCCAACACACGTTTCCAATCTCTATAATATGATGTGAATGTAGCTTAAGTCACGGCAGCAAATACAATGGAGTAAAGGAAGCACAGAGAGGGTACACAAACAGAAGCAGGGCAAAAATTACATCAAATCAGATAAATTGAGTCTTACTGAGTTCTTGCAGAGGCTTAATGAATGCTGCTTTTCTTAGTGAGAAAACATGACAAAAACACCAGTGGTGGCAATTTCTTCCAAATGAGAGGAAGAAAAGTGGACTACTACTACCACTTAAACTGCCCCACAATCATCCACAAAAAAGCTAAGCTACAATAATGACTGCCCCCATTTTCAAACGCATGAGCATCAAGACAACACTGTTTCTAAGGGCTGACTGTGCAACTTCACAGGTCAAAGTTGAACAAAACACTCTGGCCTGTGAGTCACAGCTCACACCAGAACAGGAAAATGCATTATTGAATTGATGGTGTGGAAAACTGCAGTTTAAATGTGACTGCACCTATACAATAAGTCTCCTGTCCTAAGAGTATAGCATAAGTAGTGATTTCAAAACCATCTGAGCTGGGACTGACTCTTATCTTTTGAGGTCATTACCAAAACTACAACAAGAACTGCATGTAAGCATACAAGTAGGAGAAAAGGCCACCTTGTCAGGGTATGCTACAGGACAGAGAAGGATGGATTTTCTGCATATCAGTTTGTAAAATGATGTACTGCTGGCTGGTATCTTTTAGTGGACCAGTAGAAGCACTCTAATTACAAAATGAGAAGTGATTCTTTAATGACTATGGTGTAGGCCTCTTCAATTTAGTATAATCACATGAGAGTGTCTCAAGATGAAAGATTATCAAAGGAGCTGTGTGCGATAGCACAAAAAATTAATATTATCAAATAGCCCCAATCTTCACTTATCAAGAACACTGCATGATAATTAAATCCAAAAAGCACAAGTTTCTCAGTTTTTTTCCATTCAAATGAAAATGACTGTGATTGTGATGGTTAACCTAAATGAAACGTTTCATCTCCTGTGACAAGTGGAGGGATTATGATCTTAGATTTAAGCACTGGACTTCTTTAAGATGTGACCATCATGCACTGCATAAAATGTTTGTTAATAGTCACTGATGGTAAATGAAGCAATGGTATTATTGCATTACATTTCGAGTATCTGCAGGTTTCAACATGTCAATTCAAATATTAAAACAACTAAATACAATACAAATAGTTCAAAGTTACAAAACTACACTTGAGAAGAATACTAAAATACAGACAACGTATAATCAAGTGAAAGGTACCCTGTAGACTGTTTTGATTTGGTAGTGCTATGAGGCAATGTTCTCACGAGGGGGACCAATGTCAACCACGCAGGATTTCAAATGTTTTACAAGCCGGCTCTCACAATAATGATATTTGACGATTATGCAAAAATAACTGTTTAAAATCCTAACTTTCTACATTTCCACATGGTAACTACAGTATCCTGTCTGACAGACACATGTGCTACACATCCCATCAACCACACAGACCCCCACACTTTCCACCTTGCCACACAAGCAGCACAATATCTATCGCTACAAGGCCGTCAACAGCAGGGGCTACTTTCAATGTAAGGTGTTTTTCTACAATGTAAACCTCGTAGAATATCATGATACCTCATCATCATACACCTGGATATGATGAGGAATTCTGCACTGATACAGACAATAATAGTATGGTTGCCACTCAAATAGATAGAAGGTTGCATATTTTTAAAGAGATGATGGAACAATTTGACAGAAACACTTTTGTACTGTTGGATGCAGTTGATCTTTCATTCTTTGTGAAAGCTGGAGTCCTTAATGTTTGTTGCCAAAGGACAGAGAGAGAATCAATTGACTTAGAAAAGGAATAACATTAAATTGCTATGAGCTTTTCCTTGTAATGACAGAAAAAGTCCCCGGAATTACACACAAATGTTGACAGAGATCAGTCCTATCAAAGCCCTTGCACCATGGCATGTAAGATGGAAGAAAATTTCCTCCTCTTCAAATGCACAAAAGCAATAAGGAGGGTTCTTCTTCCCATCTCTCCCTCCATGCACCGGGGGCGGCTTTCTGCATCAGAAGAATTCCTGGCAAATTAATGCACTACCTCTTGGGCTAATTAAATTAGAGGGGATCAAAACTACAGAGCGGCTTTTGTGGTGGACACAATGTTGTGCTTCATGCGCTCTTTGCTCTGGGGGGAATTTCTGCCATTTAGCCTCCTCTCTGCCTGCAGCTCCATGCTGGACTTGCTCTAACACAGTCAAGTTTCTCTAATTTGCTTGAATGAGAAAGAATTATTAACTGATAATAAGAAACCAAGAGAGAGAGTGAGAGAGCGTTGAAGGGCTGCAGGCAAGGATGAGTGGGAAAAGGGTGAACTCTGCGGCACCTGAAGCTCATGAGATTTTTTTTTTATTAATTCCTCCCTAAAACGAGGCATTCAGGAGTAAAATTGCTGTGCAAATGACAAGAACGATTATGGTTGTAATTCCTCTTCTTTGGGAAATGTGTGCAGCTTTGTTGCAGCTCTAACTGGATCAGGCTGCTAACAAGCTACCGCTAACCACGTAGCATTAAGCATGACCTCTGCAATGCATGACGGTTCACTTTAAGGTTATTCTGCTTTACAGAGGACACAGACACAGACATTACTGATATTATTCTGTAGCAGAAACTCCAACAACAGCATTGTTCAGCAGTTAAAAGGGTTGAGAGGATACAATGCAGTGGATAATGTCATTATTACAGAAAAACATAATGTGAATGTGATCAAATTGTTTGTGTGTTTTACAGGGTACAGTTGCTGTAGTAACCACTAACTACAGAGAAATGCATGCAATTAATTTTGAAGAGTTGAGAGCATAATGACTGCAGATGACTTTGTGTTGTTGCATTTTCTCCATTTGCTTAAAACTGAAAGATTTTCCATAAACCATTAGTGTCTGGTCTGAAGAGCAAGAGCGCGAGACCTCCTGATAACAGTTGACTTGTATTTTCCCACCTGAACTGATGAGATCGCTGACAGGGTCAGACACAGTTTAGAAGCTGATAGCAAGTGATGGAAAATGTACATGAAGTTATGTGACATTCCTGTGTTTGCTGGGAAAAGTCTTTTGGTAACTGACCAAAAGCCAATACTATCATTGACTAAAGTAAACGCAAGAGCCCACTGATCAACAGGAATAATTGATTTGTAAGAGCAATCCTTGGGTTTTCAGTATCTACATTTTTTTCACTACCTGGCTCCACAAAAGTAATAATGGCCTATGAATAATCTATAAAACAAAATGGGTCAGTAACTATTAAAAAAGCTAAGAGTTACAGAATATAAAGTCTTCATAAAATATGCATTATTATAAGGTGGAACCCCTCATTTCAATGCTCTCTGGTTGAGGTGAAGCTAATTTAAATACTATTTTCACTGATGGCTTCTTTAATGTATAACAATAAATCAGAATGCATGAGCTCATTTAGTATCTAAAATCTTCATCCAGAACTATAGTTGTTAAATAAATGTACAGAAGTATAAATATTGGTAGCTTCAAAACAATCTACTTTTTAATTTAGTAGAAATTGGTAACATGAAAAAAAGGCATTGATGCCAGTATAAAAGCTATACAATAGCTGAGTTTAAAAACAAAAGCTTTTCCTTTTACTCAACTTTATGGCGAAACTTGTGTCCACACTACTGTGGTTGGCAGCCCCCCCTCCCACATGCAATACATTTCTTGAGATAGTCACACATTATGACCAATTTACAGCAGAATTAATCAATTGAAAGAAGTCGCCCGTATGTAGCTGTGAGGCACAATGTCTGAGAGGAACAAAAAAAAAAAGCTGATTTGGATCAGCAACAGAAGTCTTGAGTATGTTTTGCATGCCTTCAGGAAATCTCTCAGAAGTCAAAGGAAGTAAACCCCCACACCCACACACGCCTCACCCAACATGTCCTGGTACGTGTTGGCAGCGCCGTGCCAACAGATTAAGAATTAATTCAGCCATCAAAGCATGCTTACCTTGACACTAAGGTGGGGTTCCCCCTCCTTAACAGCTGATAAAAAAGACATCTGCATTCTGTGTTTCGTCCTGCCTCTGCAATTACAAAGTGACTGCTGCAATCCTCTGCAACACGTGAGGAAGTTAATCATTCAGGTTGATAGAACCACTGCTCATTTCCATCAGAGGGGGAGCTTAGTACAATGACACAACCTGAAATCACCAGCATGGGTTTGCACAGTATGTGTGTGCATGCCTCTCCATGTTTATTACATGAATACATCTGCATCGTTTGATCTATCTCGCATGAAAACATGTTTACCAGCCCTCCTCCACTGTAAATATTGAGAACAAACCCGCCAGGGAAAGGTTACATCTATTTTTATTGCAGAAAATGCACCTTAGCAGTAATATAATTCGCATTTCCTTGACAAATAGTACAGCACATTACAAGCTATCAACTCTGGGAGCAAAAGCACGTGTTGTATGTTTTCCATTTACAAGGGCGTTAAGATGTTTTGTCTTCCTGCTCTTTTTACACCTGGTTTACTCTTGTCAAACACTCACACACACACTCAAGCACACACAGACACACAAAGCATGCCTCTCTTCTCCAGGGACAATGATGCTGCAGTGGTTTAGAAACTTGCTGAAGGATCCTTCAGCTGGAGGACACTTGTGGCTATCAGACTCATGACCTTCCAGCTTTGATAGACCCTTTAGTCACTAGTCTGATGACTTTAGTTAACTACTACAATCATGTAGCGTGTGCTACTAAGAGTGAATGTGGTACCACCATAAATTTCTTTAACTATATAGATGTTGTGTGTCTGATGTAGCTATGTTGTTGTTTAACAACAAGAAGTGTTCCCCGTTAAGAAGTTCTTCACCAAGTCAGTTAGCCATCGCCCCAACACTGTGGTTTAAGATTTAGCTGCAGTGTTTAATGACTGAAGGGCTTTAATACACACAGTTGACAGAAATGTGACATATGCAGAAGGAAATGCTCACTGAAGTGGAGGAAATACGAACAATACTGTATGTTTCAACTACAGAGACAACACTCTGCACAAATTAGTGCAATTTGCTAGTGTGACTGTGTGCTAAAAATATCACAATATTAACTAAAGTAAATAAATAAAGGTTGCAATTGCAATTTTAGGTATATTGATTTATATCATGGAGGTTTTTGGCCTCTTTATTTGTTCAGTGCTAGTTATTGGACAGCTCTTTACCAAAGGGATTAATTATTGGATTCAAAAATGTATGTTATTACAGACAAAAATAACTTTTCAGCACAAGGTGTCTGCAGTTAATTTAAGTACAAGTCAACCAAATGGAGCAGTCTTTCTGACCCATGAAACTGCGACCCATGCCATGACTTCACTGGCCAATCAGAGTTGACTTCTTAACACCAGATATGCAATAATGAAAAATAAAGCATTATTCCACATTACAGGAATCAGCATGGACATGGCAAACAGGGGTTTTACAAGCTAGCAGCTGTCTAAATTGCAACTTGCTCTCTAATCCAGAGAGAATTAGGGTCCTTCCTGTGTACAAGGCCCTCTCCCGGTCAGGGCCCCTGTCCTGTTTAGATTTGTGGGCTTGATAAACCTCGACGGCCAACAGGTCTGTTATGAGTGGGAAACGGCAAAGCAAGGGAGGGGGGGGCCACATTTTCTCATAGCCAAAGTCAACCAGGGGATAATACCTCAATCCTAATGGGGCTCAGCACGGGCATTATCTGGCCTCAAATGTTTTTTTCCCCCCACTTCCTCTTTGTCCGTGTGGAAGTTGAGTTTATCCAGACTCTCCCCTCGCTCCAAGCCGCCAGACCCCGAGCACCAACCTGTTTGGTTTGGTTTCAGGTAGATGTTAACCCCAGCAACAGAGGGAGAGTGAACATAATCAGGATATGAGACAAAGCTCTCAGTGAAGTCCCGCTCTTCCTCTCCTGTCATATCCGTGTGCTGAGAGATAAGCCCTGGTTTTGCCTTTTCCCATGATAGCACCGCAGGGACGAGGCTGCAGCAGCCACGGTTGCCTTGGTCTGGCGATTACAGCCTCAATATGAGCCCACATTGTCGGGAAAGAGCTGTTTGGTGGCTGAGATTAAGTAATGATTCTTGTTGAGAAGAATTAAGGGTGGGGAGTGGCGTGAACAGTGGCACCATGACACACACCTCAAGAGCAAGGCTGCCATTTGAAGTGATTACAAGGTCATTATACAGCGGAGAAGCTAATGACACACATTTCAACTTGTCTATCACCAAAAAGAGAAATCATACTTGTGGTTGTTTCCTGAACATCGTGTTCACTCTTCTTACTAATGGTGCCATGCGTGAGGGAAGAAGAAAAAAAAAGTGTCTCTTCTTAATGCAATCATTTTCACATCAAGAAAAATGTGCCAAAATATTTTCCCGCGAAAGCTGGTCGTATTTGTCAAATTCTCCGCAGACTAATCTCGCAATATTGCACGATGAATATTCTTATAAAAAATGGGGGTGACGGAGGGTGATGGTGATGGCGGTGGTGGGAGGGTGGGCGGGCACGCTGGGGTTTTTTAATAAGGACAGTTTATCTTGTGTGGACAAAAAATAAAATTAAGACAGTTGTCAGGCTCTCTCCATCTCACCCTCCTGCTCCTCCTCGCAGGTGATGGAATATGCACAAAGACAGCGGCTAATAACGGCACGGCCGGTTTAGGTGAACAGATGGTGATGAGGCCTGTTGCTAGGCTGAAAGGCCTGAAGAATTTTGTTTGTAATTCCAGATTATTTGCCTCGCTGCCATATGCTTCACCCTCACTTTCCACAGACAAGAGAACACAAAGGAAGCATGGTGGTTGTGGTGGTCATGAAGAGACCTGGGCTGGGTCAACAGTGCAGGATTGTGGGATAGAGCCGGCTCAGATGAAGATCACCTGGGTTTGAGAAGCACTAACTTTAAACTGGAACATTTTTATTGCAAAAAGTCAGAAAATCTGTGTTTATTTTAGTTACCTATTTTAGTTAGTTTGTCTGATACATTAAAAAATATTTTTCACATATGTTTCTGCTGCACATGCCTTTCTCAGAGAGATCCAGGCTGGTCAGAAGTTGCTGTTGGACTTGTAGGCCAGTCTGAATACCGTCTGAATGCCTAAAATATAAACTCAAAAATCAAATGTGACAGTGACGCAGGAGTTCACCCATTTTTATCACCGCCAAAGAATTTATGCTCGCTCTTATCGTACAACGCGGCACAAGATTTTCTCCAAAGCAGGCCACTTCAGAGGATGTTGGAAAAGCTTCTCCCCACTAGGTAAACAATCAGGCCTGAGAACAGACTCTCTCTCTGCTCCGTCTCCAACAATCACACCAACTCCAACCACAGAGGATTTTCCCCCTCTTCGCCCCCGTCTCCTACCTTCTCTCACTTTTTTCTCTCCCTCTACAACATAGACCCCAACCCAAAAGAAAAAAAAAAAATCACCAGCTTTCAGCACACACTACCACCCTATCTCTCTGTATACAGGACCCTGTCGGCCTGTTTCCTCTGTCAAACACCCCCAGCCTCCCCTCCTTTTTTTCTTTTTGTTTGCTTTACTGTAATCATTTCGCTGGCCCAGAAACGTGTGGGTGTGCTGGCAGCGGTACAAAAACGAGAGACAGAGAGAAAGAGAAGTTACATGGGAACTGAGTTAAGGTTGAATATTTATTAGAAGAAGCCATCTGGCGTCGCAATGTCTGTACAAAGAGGGCTTGCTCTCTCCTTGTAATAGTCCTCCTCCTTCTCCTTCCCTGACTTTATCTCTCTCATTCTCTCTCCCATTTTCTTCATTTCCCCCTGTGTCCCAGAGAAAATATTCAGCTCCAACCACATGCTCACAGAGCCTTTCACATAATCACAGCGTTATACCATTTCAAAGAGTCGCTAATCAAAGGAAAGAGCACAGAGATATTTTACCCTAAATGGTTTACTTTGCTGCTCAAAAAAAGGGGAGGGGGGGGGGTAAAATGTGACATGCAGTCATCACACACCTCTTGTTTGTTGTAACCACTTCACAGAACAAACTGGAAGTTTCCTACATCAGATTATTTTCCGCACTTACATATAAGACAGATTTTATGTTTTCTAATCAATGCCAATGACGAAACTGGAAGCATATGTGACAGAAAAATTAAATCCTGAGATAGAAATCAAAGTTTTAAGTAAATCTTCACCTGAGACAGATGACATCTTTTTGGCAATCTGAATGTAAAAAAGATAACAAAGTGGAGGAAACGCTAAACTGTGATTTGATTGGTGTTTAGAGATTTAATAAAGTCAAAATATAATGAAAATATGTTTCAAAATAATTTGCTGTGTCTGTTGTTAGTGTGCACTTTCTTTTAAACGTGCACACAGCTGTATTCCTTCATATCAATATGTGAGAACATGTGTGTTTTCACATGAGACTGTATGCATGTGTGTTTGCTCTTTTACAGTGTGTGCATGATTGAATGCATATGAGTGTGTCTGCCTGCCTACATACAAGCACACAAACAGACAAGCACCATCTCACTGTGTACAAAGTGACTTCCTGCACGGAGCTGCAGGAGTCCGCAGGGAATGTCAGGACGAAGTGGCCGCATTTCACCCAGCAAATCCCCCGGGAATGTTTGGAGTTCCCGCAGGAATGAAACCTCCTCTCAGGGAATTCTCCATGGAAATACATCAGCCTGCAGTGATACTTGTCCCTCTAAAAGTGTCTCTGTGCTGCTCTCTGTGCAGCCACTTGTTCAAAAGGTTTTGGGACAAAACAATAAAATTCCAGAAAGTAAAAAACACATGACCGGGGAAAATGGTGCTGCGGGGTTGAGGATACTTTAAAACTGATTACAACCGTCACTTCACTTTAAAATTGAATTTATACTATCTAAAACTTGATGACTTTTGGAAACTCATCGATTTGCTCAATTGTAGCTTTTCCATCAGCTGACACAAAGATATGCAGAGCTATTTAGGGCTTGACATATTTTCTAAAAAGAAATAAAGTTGGCAAAACAGACTTTTTCAAAATAAACACAGCGCTGGAAAGTAAGGGCATCCAGCAGAAAGATACATAGTGACCAAAATTAGCT